TATTAGTCTACAGTTTCCTAATTCTCTCAGTTCTTGTGAAGCACGACAGTCCACCAAAGTCTTTACTTGGTACCTACTTCACTTTCGACTGGCTGACCCCACATTTCACAGTTTCTCATTAGAACTTCGCGATATCCATCTAGAACTATGTCACCTTATGAGCACTATACCGTAGTTTGAGATCTGACGGAATATATTTTCAAAGGAGTACTCATTGTGGACAGATATGGTCAAGATGTTCGCCGTGAAACCTATAGGTCGTAAGTCAGATCCTTGGCTGGGTCGTGGGTGCGTATTGCTGAGGAGTCCCACACTCAGATGAAGCAGCTATCAAATACTTCCAGGTTTTGAACGCTCCTCCAAGCAGTTTCAGTCCATGCTAAATACTATATGTGACTTGTTCAAAATGAACTTGGTATGCCTATAAAGAGAGTTCAGCTTTATGAAGTTTTCAAGTGAATGAATTCATTGTCATAGATATCCTAATTGTGGTGTTAATTCAGGTTTTTAATATACTGAAGTATTCATTCAAACTTCCAGATGTATAGATTTGTCGATGCTTGAAAACAACTAACATCTTTGTGTCTATTGAAAATGACAACAGTTTATTCCACTTTTGTGGAAACCAGTCATGTATGATACTTGTCTTTTCTATTTACTAGCTGCATTATCACTACATTATTACCTTTATTGAGTGCAGTGATGATAAAATAAACGAGTGAAGAAAGTATTGGCGTGATTCTATGTATTCATGCATGCATTGCAATAGCTAAGTCAACTTCTAGATTATTGATCTTATTCGGATCTGTCATTCTATATATTTGGCTAAATTCCTATGTTCGACTATTCTAGCTGACCCCGACCGACTATTTTGACCTATGTACTTGACGTCACAGTCATTACATGAAATTTGATAGATTAGATTATTTTGCTTAATTGATTGTATCGGATGCTTAAGCCAGCTGGCAAAACGTATCTCTGAGTGAGTTTGTAGATTTAAATGCCACCATAATTTCAGGTATGTTGAGGATCCTAGGTAAAGTTCCTGATTTGCCTTGCTTGTAGGGCGACACAATGGAGGCTGTGAACTCCTTCCTACTTGAGTAGTCGTTATTATTGGTACTCGTGTTACTGCTATTATTTGGATTCTTGTGTGTTCGTACGAATTTCTTGATAAATTGTGGAGGATAATTGTTAACTATTAGTGCTTCTTTTACGTGTTTCAATTCCTTATTTAGGTGCTTGCACTGACTAGTCAGTTTTCTAGCTGTGTCATTTAGGCATCTGACCAAGCCTGGCCATCCAATATCAGTTAAGGCAGGAAGGTACATCAGGAACTTTACCTAGGATCTTCAACATACCTGGGATTATGGTGGCATTTAAATCTACAAACTCACTCAGAGATACGTTTTGCCGACTGGCTTAAGCATCCGATACAATCAATTAAGCAAAATAATCTAATCTATCAAATTTCATGTAATGACTGTGACATCAAGCACATAGGTCAAAATAGTCGGTCGGGGTCAGCTAGAATAGTCGAACATAGGAATTTAGCCAAATATATAGAATGACAGATCCGAATAAGATTAATAATCTAGTAGGTAACTCGGCTATTGTATTGCATGCATTAACAAGTACACAATCACAAAATAGGGAGGGATAAAACCGCTGTACCTAAGTTTAATATAATTAGGTGGAGAGAGAGAGAGATTGTAGACTGAATCTTTGTTCATCGAATCAACACGCAACACCAATACCAGTGATGCGGAAATTTTTCCTACCAATAAAAACAAATCACATGAGGTGACAGAACTATAAAAATCAGATGTCGAAAGTATTATGATAACATTGATATGATTATGAGCAATGATAATTTATGCTGGGAACGTTTCCATTAACTAAACAATATTGTATCACCGTGTGTGATTAATCAAATTAACTAATCTAATATAGAATTGAATCCTACCGCAATGCCCTAGTTTTACACCTATATTCCTGATACTTCATCGAAGAGGACTGTGTGCTGTCTGACAGCACTAAATAGCGAAGCATTCGAATTTGAAATCATTACTGCAAATGCTTAGGACGAATAACAAAAACCAAAATGCAGATGGTGAGGAATACTTAGTAAGCAGCCTTGACGTCATTGAGGGCCTGAATCATAACTTTCCCGTCCGTAGAATCTATGTTGAAAGTTGTAACTTGAATTTTTTTAATGAAGAAAACTGAAATTCTCTCTTTATTAGGGTTTAAACGTTAAGGTATGTATTTCACTGGACACATCTCACATGGTAACTCTGACTGAATAGATTAAAAACTGATATCACTCCATGAAGTCTTTCGCTACTCATATGAGTCATACAGGGAAATGTAGACTACCGTGTTGAGGTCTGTTAAACAACCGAAATAGATTGATGAGGCTCTGAGTATCATGGGTCAAAATCGATCTTCAATTTGGTCTTTGTAACCGATTTCGTCAATTGTTTTATATTACCTACCTCTCTTACGACTTCTTTTTGATCTTCTTGTATATATTTATTCCTCCACTTCCTGGTTTACTTACTTCTGTATTATGGTGATGCAAACTGGACGAATCTACAAATTACTGATTAAGTACATCTTACACATTTTTAGAATGGACCAGCCAAAATTCTTTAGGCCTAACGGAATAGTCTAGCAGTGAATGCTTGCGTTCACCTCTGATTTTATGTATTATTCCAAAGGGAAATATGTAATCTATCCTATAGGATTTTCCAGTCCAATCCCAACATTTTTAGAAAATACAGTTAAGACTATTTTAAACATTCCACTTCCGAAGTCCCAGCCTTTTTAAGTAAATCGCTTTGAAAACTTCATTTAGAAACTTTCCTCACAATTGTACAAGTTTCAGTGTCATTTCTCAACTTCATTGAAAGTAACACTTTTTAGATTGAAAAGTAGGTTGCTATTGGTCTGTCTAAATCAGTTTAAAACTCAAATGACCTTAACTCCATTTCAAACTACGACGAAACAGCTGCTCAGTACTCCTAGGCCTTCTATAGTTCTCCAACTGAAGCCAGTTAGTGATGTATACTACCCCTAAATGAGTCTTCTTTGGGTGTTAAGTTTTATAGGAAAATGATCCCTTCACTGACAACGCATTCTGTAGAGAAAAAAGAAAACTAATTTGAACACTCCAGAGTGTACTGTTTACAACAAGTACCAATCATTTCATTTTCAAAAGCACTGTTGACAAAGAAATAGCACCTCTTGAAATGCTACACTTTACAAGTCATAATATCGTTTAAAATCAAGCTTAGTAGCAGTGTATATGATAAGTGCACATATACTACACCATCTCATCGGTTTATTGAAAATAAACCAGAAAACTTGGTGTATTTGATAGGATAATAGTAATAATAATAATAATAACTTCCTACCTAACTTACGATATGATTTCACAGTTTTCAGGTGCTGCTAATTCGTTTATTTACTTCTCCATTTTTCTTAAAGTACGACTTTATTTTACAATCTTATCGGCACGAGTCACGATGGTAAAGCGGTCTGTGAATAAAACACAGCAAACCATAATAACTACCTGTCCTACAAGAGTTGGCTGTCATGACTCAGTGGCTTAGCTGATAACGCTTTGGCATTTGAAGCGAGTTTTACCAGGTTTGAGTCTCAGTGGGAACAACACCACTCAACGGGGTGCAATCACATCCAACTGACGAGCCTCAGATAGAGCGAAATGTGCGTCCTAGCCACAACCATATAAATTATCATGATAAATATCCAGGTAATACCGAGGCATCCTCATAGGAACTCACATGCAGTCCTATCCAGTAAAACAACTGAGAACTGAAGGCATATCAACAAATTGTAATAACTTATAACATAGTTCCAATATGACTATTTTGAGAAAAGAATTATCATTTGTCGGTGAATATTGGTTCCTATCAGAGTTATAATGTTGATATAGTAGATTCAGATTACGTAATTCTCAAGTCATCGTCAGTGTATCACTTCAAAGTGTTCATTAGACTTTTTTACTCTCATGGATAGTTTTCTCTATGCAATTGGAAAGAAACTTACGCTTCTGATGCCAAATTCAATAAGGTTATTCAAACATGAACTGGTAAAATCATAAGCGAGTCATTTAAAAAGTCTGTCTATTTTAGCATCTGTTTCAACTTGGCTTATGAAAGAAAGCTTCAAGGACATTAGTTTCCATTTTTAATGCAGATTACTACAAACACTTGAACGACAAAGTTGGCGGGGCCATGAGTATCTCATACAAGGATGAAGCAGCTGTCCGGTGCCTCCAGGTTTCCAGTGTTCCTTCAACTGATGCCAGTCCATGATGAATATCAGCTCACAAACCCCTACAAGTTGAAAACGTAAAAACTCTGCCCGTCATACAAAAGGTAGTTATCATAATACGGTGGTGTATGAAGTGATCAGTCTACGGTTTGAATCTTAGTAGGAACAATATCGCTTACTGGAAAGCAAGTATATTTGGCTGATGAGTCTTGCATAAGATGAAATGTGCATCTTGGATTCCAGAGCTAGCCAACATCCACCATTACTATTTCCAGTTTTCTAAACACATGTTTAGAATGAATTTATGGTGAATTCTGGTGTAAAAGTCTTAATGCTGATGTAATAATATGCTGCCCAAAAGGTGATCAAAAATGAAAGCTGCTTGTAATCAAAACATTTTCTCGGAAGAATTTATGCTAATTTATTTCCTGCATTAGGACTGTGAAAGCTTTGATTTCCAGTTGAATAGTTAACCAAGGACATCGTTCTAAAACTTAACTAACCTCCTGTCCGTGTAATCTTTCCAAAGTCTTAAGTAAAGACGCATATGATAATCATATCCGAGCAAATTTCAATCCAGATGATACACTGTTATAACATTACTTAATCATATTCTATCTATCATCAATACAATTCAACAAAATTAACGGATGACAACCGTAAACGGTTCTAACAGGGACAGTATAAAGATAGTATTGTTATTATTATTATTATTATTATTATTATTATTATTATTATAAAGTGCATAAAGCACAGTGTACGTATACAAGAAAGTACATTTATCCACGTTGAAACTGTATTTGATTATCAGCATGTTCTGTTCTCCACTTTCGACTGTTCCTTCCAGTGCCTTTCGAAGCAATTATCTTGCAATGTTTGCCTAAACAAAACACAAATGAAATCTACTTTTTTCATGAAATAATAGAACCACTTGGAACTAAATAAACCAAATAGTCAGCTTTTATCAACTCAAGTATTTTCATTAGCAGAAATACATCTCCAAACTTTTTTTGACTGTCTAACTTAACTGTTCAATTTTCATTATCGAAACATTTTCCTTATAGATCCATTTGAATGAAAACCTTTTGTACTGTTGTTATAGTGCATGCGACACAAAAACAGAAAACCAATTAAATTAATGAATTTTATGGTTGTATTGTGTTCTCTGAGCTGGGTTGTTTAATCGTGAAGCTTTCATCGCCTTGCTAGACGACATCATCAGCACTAACTTCAGTATGAAGTGAGCTGTCAATATCTCTTCGTGAGTGATTTAGTAACTTGCTCTGATGATGTGGTCTGTGATTGGTTGTTCCCTTCGATTGTTGTGTCATTGATTGTATAGACTTTCCTATTGGCTGTCCCTCTGCTTGACCTCTGAACTTTCTGTCGTTTATCACTTTTCTTATTGGTTGATAGATCGGGTCTATGTCTATACATCTGTGGATTGCTGAGTGACTGACTAACCTGAATGCCAAGCTTCTAGAAATTCTCTGATATTCTTTGTGTTTCCTCTGTCCAAAATTTCTACATTGTAGAAATTGAATTCATGTCCATAGTTGTTATCCATGTACATTGAAGTGAGTGACGAAATGTGGTGGCGTTTAACAGCCAATTGGTTTTCAAGTAGACGAAGGAGAAGAGGGTGGCCACTTTGTCCAATGCAGTGCTGACTACAGTTATTGCGGTTGATTTTGTAAATGAAATTTGGTTTGTCTTCTTTGAGTGTTGCATCCTTTGGTCTGCATAATAGTGTTTGCAGGGAATTTGTTAGTTTATGAGCCACACTAATTCCAAGTGGTCTCAGCAATTTTATTGTGATTTCTGATACATTCTTTATGTATGGTAGGATGATGCGTTTGTTGATTTCTGTCGATGACTTTGTAGCTGGTAACTCACGCGATAGGCATCTTCTGATAAAGTTTCGTGGGTAGCCGTCCTTCTTTAGGGTGAACATCAGGTAATTTTCTTCATTTCTCAGTGTTGTTGTGCTGCAGTGTGTCTTCGCTCTTTTGAATAGAGTCTGCACGCAACTGATTTTGTGTGTTGTTGGGTTGTTGCTATTGTAGTTGAGGACTTGGTCAGTGTGTGTTGGCTTCCTGTACTCTTGGGCTTCCAGCTTTCCGCCATTTGGCCTGCTGACTTAAACATCCAGGAACGGTAGTTGGTTGTTTGACTCTTTCTCCATTGTGAATTTGATGTCATTGAAAAAGTTGTTTATCCAACTGTGGGTGTTTTCTATATCATCCTTTTTAATGATGACAAAAGTGTCGTCTACATTACGAATCCAAATTTTGGTTTGATCATAGGTAGGATAACGGCTTCCAGTCTCTGCATCACTGCTTCTGATATTAATCCGGATATCGGTGACCCCATTGAAGTTCCTTTCATCTGTTTGTATATCTTCTCATTGAATTGGAAGTATGTTGTCATACAAAGGTAGATGAGTTCCATCAGACTTGAAAATTTCAGTTTTGTGTGTTCTGAAAGGTTTTTGACTTCATTGATCAGGAGGGATATCGTTTCCTTGGCCAATTGAGGTTCGATAGATGTGTATAGTGCTGTAACATCGAAGGATATCATTAATTCATCGTTTACTTTGTTGATATTTGTGATCTTTTCTAAGAATTCTGTTTGCTAGTTCAATGTTGGTAGATACTAGTAAGATAAGGACATGTGCATCCTGGATTCCACTGCTAGCCACTATCCAATCCATCCTTACTAGAACTGGAACTACACAGGCATATCGAGGCATCCACACACGAACCCATATGCCAATAGACACAGATCAATTTGGTCCAATGAACAGTGGTATAATACAAGGAACAACAGTGAAGGTAGGATTTAGTGAATTTCATGAATTTATCAAATCCTGCCTTTTTTCACATTCGTTACTTGCTTTAAATTTGTATTAGGCAAAAAACATTTCGAATTTATTCATATTTACATTAATTCATGTGAAGTACATAATGAAATTTGTCCAGAATCATCTCTTGTAAGGATTATCTCCTGATTCTTTATTCGACTACACAATTTCACTTGCCCCATTGCACATTATCATGCAATCTTGAAGAGAATATTTGCAATTATCACAGGTTAAAGACGGATAATTATTCGAAAATTTCCCTCAACAAATATCTTGAGAATTATGTCTTCAATTTATCTTTGTTATCTGAACTTATGTATAGATGACAAATATTAAACACAGCGGCATCTTCGAGAACGACTTTCCATTTCTCTCCCTCTCAGTCAATCTTCGTTAAATAATTCATGTTTTTATCTTCTTCATTATTTTCTTATACTTCCTTCCATTGTTCCTTCCATTTTAGAGTCCTCGAATTCTCCTTCAGATGATAAAATTAATTTTATATACGTCAAATGCTTTTCAGTAAAAACCCTGAACAAAACAGTGAAATGGTTATTAACCAGTAAGATTTGATGCTTCATCTTGACAATTCGGTGATAAACCATGACGATTTTCATCCTCTACCTGTATTTACTCTATTCAATATCACTTCCTCATCACTGAACATTTCTCTTCAAATTCACTTCCTTTATTAGTCTGAATCTCATCTTTTTACTGATCTTTTCAACTATCAGCATATCCATCATTTTGCCATTTCTCGGGATTCTTAACAAAAACAATTTAATCTGATTTCATCTGTTCATGAACAGTTATTTTATGATCAAGAGCATAAATTGAATATGCAGTTTCATGTCTCAGTCTCCACTTCACACTCATTTTTAGAACTGTAACACACTTCTGTTTGACGTGACTTCATTGATATGATCGTCATTATGTGTGTGAGTCGAATTCATTCTGTTCGCATATGTGATAACTTGCAGTAGAATTCACCTCAGTCACTCACAAAGCAGTTTAAGTGAAAACAGTGAGAGTGTAACTGAAGTGAACACTGCCTGACAGAAGTTTACAAAATCCAACACACATATCGTGTTTTCAGTCTTGAATAGATTATGTTCAGTGATTTAAACTAACCGATTCTTCTATGAAAATTGTTTCGAAAGCAGTCGACGACCATATAGATTTTAGGTTAGACAGTCAACAGTGAACACGCAAAGTTTATTTAGCGTTAATAACTTTGAAATGCATTGTAAATATATTGTAAATTATCATTATTTCATTACTATTATTTATCACTTGTGTTCCTAGTGGAAAATAGGGTTTGAGTACCACGTCATTATTTCACTCTCCTCAACCTGGATCCACCATTGACCATCACCTCTCACTCCCTCCTCACACCATCTCCTCCATGTCACCATTGCCTCGCACTCGTCGTTTCCCACTTGGCTTCCACTCGACGACCTGATCCGGACTGGCACGTGATGTCCCAAAATGGTCTACGCAGTGTATGACCAGTCCAGACCAGTCCAGTCAAGTCCAGTCCAGTCAAGTCCAGTCAAGTCAAGTCAAGTCCAATCCATCTCCACCTTCTCCTGCTGCATACTAGGACGAAACAGCCGTCCAGTGCTTACACGTTCCCTTTGTTCCTCCAACTGATGTCAGTCTACGATGAATAACAACTTGGAATACTGCATATTTGTTGTATGATGGGTTCACGGTTGGTTCGTCGTCAGCCAACCAACCAGCCAGCCAGCCAGCCAGCCAGCCAGCCAGAGTTCCTCCTTGCTTATTCTCATTATTCTGGTCATCTATCTGATCTTCAGTGTCAGTATCGAGTGAGTGAGTGAGCGAGCGTAGGCGGCAGCTGTTGATGACACATGTCTGCAGTTGTTTGTTGGAAATGCTTTTTTGTGACACTCCAACTCTCTCAACCATCACATAGAAACATTGACTTGACTGAATTAGTGTTGAAAATCCGGTTGTTGTTGACGCTTTATGCTGAGTGTAGTGTAGTGTAGTGCAGCAGATCTTCACACTGATTTCAGATTAATGAAGGAAGGCGTGTCTTACTGTCTTTCCGATGATGGCATTGACGTCGTCATGTGTGTCGCTGCCTGTAGTTGGAACGATGCTGCCTTGCCTAGGTAGGTAGGTAGATGAAAGGGACAATTTCCTTTCAATTTCTCCTGTTGATGGTGATTAGTGCTTCTTTTTGTTGTTGATTGGGTATCTTCATCACCTCTGTCTTCTCTACTTTCACCCGAGGGTAGTGCTTTCTTCGTTTTCTCTACAGCCAGCTTGTTTGTTTCCTTCTGTAGATTTTCCAGTTTGTACGACAAGGCATTAGACATAAATCATCATTGGTGGCGAAACCTAAATCTTCTAGGCTCTTTTAATCGCTCAACACAGTGGATGCACATCTTCTCGCTCCTCACAGTTTGCTGCATGATCCAGTGCAGTCCAACCAACCATAATCAAGAAGATGGTCGGTGATTGTTGGTGGAAACTTCGTCTTACTCCTGTCTTCACTTCGAAGGCATTACTCAGCTTTCCTTTGCGAATCACTTGGCAAAAAGCGTCGTCTTGTTTCTTTTGAATGAGATTGGTAAAGTGTTATGTCACTGAAACCGTAGTGTTGAAGCACTTTCCAAATTACATCTTGGTCAGAACTGTCGAAGGCCTTTTCAAAACCGATGAAGTTGAGGTTGAGTTGACTGCCATTCTATACTCTGTTCTATGATAATGCGTAGCGTAGCATTGCAATTTAATCCACACATGATTTGTCCTTCCTGAAGCCAGTCAGCCAGCTTGTTCCCGTCGTAATTTTGAATCCAGTACATCCTTAGTCTTTCCAGGATGATGTGTCCTAATATTTGGCTTAAGGTGGACATGAACAGGAGCATGATTCTGTGTCACTTCTTACAAAGACCTGGGTCTCCCTTCTTTGGGAGTTCGACGAGGTAGCCCTTCTTCCAACCAATCGGTAGGTACCTTTCCTTCCTTACAAACACTCTGCAATAGTGGTGTGAGCATGTCCGCTACTGTCTCTCCGTCTGTTTTCAGTGCTTCTGGTGGAATTCCATCTGGTCCTGTTGCTTTCCCGGCTCTCACCAACTTTATGGCTTTCAGGACTTCACTTCTGATTTTGCCGAAAGGCTTGTGTTCACTGGTAATTCTGTGAGTGGGCTGGGCTGTTGGTGGTGTTTCTGGACGAGTTGTAGGTGGTGGCGGTGGTTGATTCGAGAGTTTTTTGAAGTGATCAGTTCATCGTCTCCTTTGATTCTCCTCTTTGGTAACTAGCTTTCCTTCACTATCTTTCATTGGTTTCATCTGTGTTGATCTCTTCCTAGATAGATAGTAACCTGGTTATTTGATATAGTGTTATCAGGTGTCTGTCTCTCCTACATGCAGCCTGTTCTGCTTCACTTGCCAATGTGTCGTGGAAGTGTGTTTTGTCTTTGCGCGCACTCCTTTTTCACTGCTTTGTCCAGTGTAGTGTTTTATATGTTGTACTCAGTTGTTCTTTTCGTTATGCATCCTTGCACTGGTTCATTCTCCGCCTCACCATCTTCCTCTCCCCCCCTCTATCAGCTTGCATATGTCCGTCAAGATCCATTCCTTGTCTTGTCTCGTTTCCTCTTCCTTCCTTATACAGTTATGCTGGTTTCCTTCCACATCTCTTTCGACGAGTTCCAGTATTCTTGCACGCAGGTTTCCTCAGGGAAGTTGCTTAATGTCTCCCATTTCTGTCCTGCTAACTGACTGATATGATGTCGTTTGTAGTTTCGTCCTTCAGTTAGGTTTCTGTTCTGGGCGTTCGACTCGAACTTGAACTGTGGTGTATCACCAACTTCTTCGAAGGCTTCCAACTTGATTTTGAGAGCAGGTTCCTTGCACTAGACAGTGTGTGTATGGTGTGAACCTACATCTGCTCCCCTTCTTGATCTGATGTTGTGTCCAGTAGGCTGGCTGTGTCTCCACTTTCTTCACATTGAGATGAAGTCGATCTGATTTTTAGTGTAGTATGTCCTGGTGTCTGGTGAAATCAAATGCATGTGGCTCGCTTTGTGAACATCCTTGTGTTTGTACACACTGCCTGGCCTCCAATCACGAAATCGTTGAATGTGCGGAAATCTGCAAACAGTTTTCCATTCTCGTTCATTTCACCGAGTGCTTCTCGACCCGTGATCAGTTCTTTTCCTATGTTGTCCATTCCGAGTTTGGCATTCATGTTGCCCATTAGAATTTTGATGTTGCCAACTGGGGTGGGGTCTTGTCCATTACTGACTCAGTTGTCTGTGGAATGCCTCCTCCTCCTCTTCATCTGTATTATTTGTAGGTGCGTAGCGTGGCACTGTATGATTGTGACTTTCCTTCCTTTTGAGTTGAATCTTGCTGTCATGATCCTGCAGGAGGAGATTGGTTCCCACTCCATGAGAGAGAGAGAGAGAGTCGTTAATGCTGTTGGTGACACCATGAAAGCCACACCAAAACTCAGTGTGCTGGTGGTTGTTGTGTTGTTTGGGTAACAATATTGGAGTAGATTATTGACTCTTCTCCAGGTGACAGTTTGGAGAGTCCACTTCCATTTCATTGAGTGTTACCCCTGGGTAAACATAAATTTATAGATTTCATGTTCTACACTTTAGCAACCGGTGTTTTTGGCTGATAGGGAAGTAAGCAAGACTTATGTTACAGTAACTAATCCCAAGTGTAAATCAATAGAGCACTGATAGTTCGATTATTATTAAAATTGAACTTGAAACGTCATCTAGTCAATAATTCAGTAGTTAATGAATGTCCGTTTGTGTTCCCAAGCACATAACTCGAAGTTGAGCACGCAGATTAGCTAACTGTCAGTCATCACTAGGATAGTGTATGAGCATTCCTGAGTAATATGTTGCTCCTTGTTTCGCTAGTGTTAGTTTCAGTAAATGGCAATCAGAGCTTACTGCCTTAATTGGAAAATTGAGAAACAGACATTCAGCGAGCTGAAACAACACTGTTCTTTGAATGTAAGAGTAGAGTTTCAGCATTGTGGTAGAATTCCATATTAAATGAGTTTATTTGATAAAGTACACGTCAATACAGTATTATTTATTAGATGATGTTTTGAGTAAGTATTACTGTTCAAAACAGTATTAAAGTCATCCCACACTCAAAGACTTTGTTTTCACCGTCCTAGTACTTAGCATCCCTTGGTTTCAATAGTAGTAAGATCTTTTAGATCCTACTGACCCAAAAAACAAAATAACTCAGTCTATCAACTTTTGTGTAAATACTATGAAGTTATCCATATAGGTCAGTTAAGCTGAGTGAATTCAGTCAGATTGCCACAGATTAGGAGACTAGCCAAATTTCAAATGACATATTCAAATAAGATTTGTAATTAATTAGCTTATACAAAGCAATCTGATGCAAAAGTAAACAACACAGTGGTATAGAACAACAATCATTAAGAACAACTAAGTTGGTTGGAGAGAGATATTACTGACTAATAAATCTTTCTGCATTGAATTGATAACTAATTCAAGTGATAAGAGTTATGCAGTAAGCATTCCAGAGATATCAACAGTCCTATTGTACAACAAGTGATCGATTTTCCCGAAGAAGTAAATTTTCATCTTAGTGTTTTTAGTCCAGATATTTACCGACCTGATTATGTTTTCAAACTGCTATTACCACTAACGATGCACGGATATCGACCACTAGTCACCTGCGTTCTACAACTTTCTGGTTGATTTCTGACCTGTTTAATTAATAAAGACACAGTGAGACGTGTAGGCGTGTGTATTCAGTCCGAAGACCCAAAGTAATCAATCGTAGGCGAATATATCTAAATATATTCATAGTCCGGGGTCTAAAAATAAAAATATTGATCGACTGATAGTCTATCTTTAGTCTAACTGTAGGTGTAATTAACACAAACCACATTTGATTGGTTTACTTCTGGACTACTTTGATTCATTCACTTATCAGTTATCAATTCTTTACTTCTATCAGTTTGATAAAGACTGGTCGATTTCCAAATTAACTTGGCAATCTCATGGTATATACCACAAAAAAAAATGGCACTTTTTGTAAATGGTGCCTCAAAAATGGCCGGTAAACAAGATACTAATGGTAAAATTTAATTCACATTAAAAATACTCATTTTTCATCAAATTTATGTACATACAAAATTGTGACTTACATGGATTTCTAAAGTTTATCACCAAAGGCCAGTCAAACTTGCCATCCAAATATTGTGAAACAATAACAGTATATTTTCGTCCGTACTGAACAGGAAATGAGCTGAAGAAATTTGGATATCTTCCAAATATATTCATTTTGTATGGTTCGTTAGCCTTGCCATAGAAAACAATAATTTTGTAAAGTTCATTACTAGCAATATCACGAATTTTCCATTTCACCAACACCCGATTTGAACTCCTTTTTAAAACTTTCACATCATAAAATATTTGTTTCGCTGATGTAAAAGAAAAAACACAAAAATCACATCAATTAGTCTAAATTCTAAGAGATGAAACTTAAGAGATCCACCTTAAAGTAGCAGAATAAAATTTTCTTCCTCTCACTTAGCTGTTTGCAGGAAAAGGACGTTTAAATGTGAGCACGAAATCTGTGAAATACTGCCCATCCCCGGTAACATATCTCACTTTCGTTGTCTTATTCTCTTTCATCCAAGTAGGCAGCATCGCTTCAACTACAGGCGACAGCGGCACAGACGAGGAGGTCAAAACCAGGATCGGTAAGGCAGCAAGACAGGCTTTCACTTATCTGAAATCAGTGTGGACATCTTCCTCACTCAGCATGAACGTGAACAGGATCCGGATTTTCAACACCAATGTCAAGTCAGTACTGCTATATGGTTCAGACACTTGGCGTGTCACGGAAACCATTTCCAACAAACTACAGATATTCATCAACAGCTGCTTACGCTGGCTCCATACTGAAGATTAGATGGATTGCCAGAAAGAATAAACAACAAGGAACTCTGAGAACGAACCAACCAAGAACCTATCACCCAACAGATATGCAGAAGAAAGTGGGGATGGATTGGGCTGGGCATGCAATGAGAAAACCATTCCGGGACATCACGCGCCAGGCCTGGTCGTCGAGTGGAATCCAAAGGTGAAATGACGAGTTGGGCGTCCTAGCTGAAGGTGACATGAAGGAGATCATGTGAGGAATAAATGAAAGCTCGTGAGCAGTCGTGGCGCCAGGTTCAAAAGACTGCAGAGAAGAGAGTGCAACAGAGGCGTGCTACTGAAACCCTATGTTCCAGTAGGAACCCAAGGGAGTAGAAAGTAGAAAGTTCATGAAAGTTAAGGCATTTGTTTTAGAAAACAAGAAACAGAATGACTTTCTACTGATGTGGGAAGGAAAAGTTCGAAATAAAGTGAAAACATCTACGTGAACCTTAGGAATTATCTTGAAAATGTAACTGTCGTATATTTCTTTCCAAATAACAGATAGGTGCAATGAAATACAAGCTAGAATAACTTTTGCTTACCAATTTCTAAAGCATGACAGAGGATATTTAAGAACTAACGAAAGACAGTTCAGTAAAGAAAACTTTTCTTTTTGACGAATCATTTTCATAAGCTGTATACTTATTATCATAGTTACAAGAAATATATTCCTATTAATAGCCAATGCGTCAATACGGGAAACCAATCAGGGATAGATAATGTATTAGTTTTCAAAGTTGGGTCATACTAGTCAACAAAAGAAATCTAATTTATTCACTGTGCATACAAATTAGAAAAATTTGTATGGATGGTATAGCAAATAAAGAGCTGGAAGTGCTTCGAAGAGTGTTCATCTTGAGTAGTCATGCTTAAAGACCCACTGAGAGGAACATGAGGCCTGAGAATTCCATAGATTGACCTCATAAAGTTTCAAAGCAGACACTGTTCATGAATATTGGATTCAGAGGAGATACATTGGGAGAGATATTGAAGAACTATTGGTACAAAACACTAAAGTTCTTTTACGCTGATCTTATGATTGTTTTCTCCAGTTAACAACTGATTCGAGGGTGCTTAGTGGATAAACTACCGCTTTGGGATATCTCTATGTAGGTTTATCAGTTTTCCTGCTCTTGTGGAACTGGCTACATAAGCCGAACAAGAGTGTCCTATCCAACCACTTGGTTGTCTAAAGGATAGTATAAAGCCCACAATAGCTTGATTCCTGAGCACTTGGTTAACTCAGGCCACTTTAATCTACATCAGTCTTCTTTCAAAGTCATTTATAAAGTGAAAATAATAACTTCAAAGAGTACATGTCCACCACATTAACATTCGTGCAACCTGAATTATTTCACAAGGATTCTCTTATTTCTGTAATACTTGACTTCAGTTTTGATTTGCCCACAGGCGCAACATTTGAATCATGGTTAAAAAAGAAATAAGACTTATTTCTTGTTAGCCTCAAGTTGTTTGATAATGCATAAAAATTACGTGTTCTTTTGTGAAAATTCGACAACGTAGAACATGGTCGTTACATCAATTTCATCGCGTCAGATAATTTTATGGATTTCAATTTTGATGAAGCAGTTAGTCACAGATATTTAGAAAGCAATCATTTCTCTTTCGGATTAGAAACTAGTGTTTACACATTATGAAAGAATCAAGCAATGACTGCATCAAATATGCTTACATTGTCAATAAAGATTTTTCATCGATGAAACAGGCCAATTTAAGTGTCTTATTTTTGTCTGTACTCTAAGGTCTCCGGTGCTGGTGTTTTCTCTAGGATGGAACATTGCTCAAATATAACACTCCAAGAACTTACAAATGAATGTTAAAAATTGATGAACTTGAAGTATGACTCGACAGTGGTTGAAAGCATAAGTCATTCAGTTAAGATGAATAAAGTTAGTGAGAAAGGATGTATAGCCACTGATAGCACAACTAATGATAATAGTAAGTCGAAATCACTTTCAGTATGTTGGTATTTTGGTGGTTGGCACTGTGTAAAATTTTGCTGTCTTAAGTATCATCGATACATGAGATTTTCTTGACGAGATAATACAGTTGGTCACTGTAAAGTTAGACTCCGAAATCAGCCACAGTTGTACTGCAGATATCCGAATAAATGGAATAAACCCCTAGAAACACATTCTATGAGGTTGTATTTATAAGATATTAGCAGTGAGTCAGTGGGAAATGATGGATGTAGATTTCATCCCTGTTAGGACTCACGATCAAAAGGTATCTTAGAATTATTGATCCTAGTGAGATGGGAACATTACGGTATATATGTGCAGCAAATTACTGGGAAAACTCATCTACTGTCTAATCTTATGAAGAATCTTTGATAAAAATGCAGTGTTTAAATTTCATAAGCGTAACACCAATCACCACTTGGTTCCTTCTAGAAATAGTGAAAGATTAATTCATTTTCACTTACTAAGATGACGATCATCATTTGCTACCACAATTGCCTTAATTCAGGCATGTATAAACAAGTGTATAGAATATCGGTGTGAATGTCAACTAACTTGGTTTGGAAAAGGAAATACGAGTGGGAATTCCAAAGTTACCCAATTGATCTGCTGCAGAATTAAAGGAGCGTGGATCATAAACTGAAAGGAGAAGTTCATACTTCTCTTGACCAGTCACCATTGAACTGATTGTGTTTTTTCTCTCCAACATCATTTTCAAATGTCCTTTACGAGTGACCAAAAAAACAGCCTTTTCAAAGTTTTCATCACATTTATTCTCTTTTATATCCCATTTCACTCTGTACATTGTTGAGGATATTAAACTAAAACGTATATTTTCGAAAATTGGAGGTACTGTACAAAGCAATAAAAAGAAAACAGGCAGAAATTATTTAGTATTGCTTATAACTGTTTCCGATTAAAGATCTAATAGTTCGATTCACATGGTGAAGCAAACTTTGTGAAAAAGAAATGTAAAAATTCTTTACATTACTTTTTCCCTTCGAAGTTAACTGCTCATTGGCTATTGACAATTGAACAGCTCAGAACATTCTTAGTTTATGACATAAAAGGGGTTTCATTGTCTTGAATGTAATTTCGTGGAGAACGAAATAAAAAATTTTGAATCCTAGGTAATAACAAACGTTTTTATGAAGCTGAAGCTTATTCACTTGACATTTTTTAAACTATTCTTCTACTAGTGGACTTTGTATTGAATAAGTCTCGTTAACACAACTCGTGGTAGTAGATTTTTAGTTACTGGATGATGTTTCAAGCATATATTCTTGCTCAAAGTCTTATTATAGTGATCATGCAGCTTCCTGTTGAGGTATATATAGTTCTTTAGGCTCCTGTCTCCTTAAATTTCAGTTGCATTAAAGTTTTACAAATCTTCGAGGTTGATGTTAGGTCATTACCATCGCATGCGTTTCGTGCTGATTCACTGATCACAACCTCCTCCATCTAACTACATTATTCTTTAGGACTATAGCTTTATACTATGCGATTGTGTAATAATGTGACATCTGTGTGTGTTATGTCAGGTGAACTTATTCAATATTCCTTTACATTCAACCACGGTGCCCAGGTTGTTCGCCTATACTGCTATAATATTCACCTGAAAGTCTGGCTTGATGATCTGCTTTGAATTACGAGAAGGAGTTACATCAAACATTCCTAGCACTTCCCTAAAAGATTCTTCGCCTACATAAGGAAAAGAATAAAGATTTTCGAACATATATATATATATATATATATATATATATATATATATATATATATATATATATATATATATATATATATAAAGATTCAATGCAAATCACTAAGAACAAAACTGCAATGGCTTAGTTTTATCACACTACTTCAGTCGAAAATTTTCCGGAAAATGTATTCAGTCTACGGAAACTGTATTCACTAAAGTAATTCCACAACCGGAACCATTTATGAATGAGAAGGATATCTTCTAAAGAGTACTACAGGAACTCACTCCTAGCACTTCCAGATGAGCTATTTAAATAAATATTACTAGTGATAGTGCGCATTACTGTCGAAATACTCTGCGGACTTTTTGATATATTATTCAGTCGAATCAAAGCACACATGACTGCAAGTTTCCTGTTATGGTATAGACTACGAAAATGACAACAGATATTTAACAGCCAACCACAGTCAGTTCAGTGTGAATGGCTAGTTGTTAAACAAGTCCGTTTTAGGTGATAAATGCAATAAATCAACTACAATGGAATAACGTCCTACCATAGTATTTAAGTTTTACTCTTATATTAGTCGTCTAGCTTTTTGAAAGATTATTCCCAGTGCCAGTGAAACGAATAGGCTTTTGGTTACGGTTCAGAATGGGCCTAGGGCCAGTCGCTTATTTTCAATAAACATCATTAATCCATGTGAGGACTTGGATGTTATTAGTGGTGTTAATGTACCTGCTGATGTTACTTTTATTGACTTTAGCAAATTCTTTAGTGAGCTATTTAACCAAGAGCCTGAGAAGAAGCTTACTATTTTCGAGAGTGACAATGCATTTAGGAGTCGATTCAGTGTCCTTTTTGTAGAATGCGAAGGGTGAGCTCAAACAAGATTTTGTTTCATTGAAACCATTGAGGACTGTAGTGATACAAGGTACCATCTGGAACGTACTTCTCTTCCAAATCAATATAAATGAGATGCCAAAGATGACTAAGTCTTCACTTCTCATGTTTCCAGACGATATACAAACTCAAAGACCAGAACTTTCTGCCCTTATAAGACAAATTCTCTAGTTGATTGGTCCGAAAGATGGACCTTAGAAACGAACACTATCAACAGTGTGGTCATACCAAATTAGCTATGATGGTTGATGTGAGTGCTTGTTCAATTATATGTTTCTGCTTAAAATAGCTAAATGAAAAGACTTGAATGCTACCATCAGTCATTATCTTAAAATATCAGTTTGCTATAGAATATTATCTGACAAAGGTTTCGGGAGACTTTGTTCGCTTCAGCAAACTTTTCAGAGCTTAGATATGAATATACTCCAGATTCTATATCCTGCCCGTGTGAAACCACATTAAGAATATGGCATGCAGGCAAGGAGCTGATTTTTTAAGTATGAAGTTGTCGTGTGAATTAAGGTTCATAGGGTAGTAATCACTTTAGTTCAGACGATCTTTTCGATACTACAGAATTCTGGTATATAATTTTTTAACAAATGCACCCCTTTTAGAAAATGCGTGGATGAAACAATCAGAGCATCTTAGTGATATTAACTGATGAATTTTTAACAGGGAATCATATATGGCAGCCACATTTCAGCAGGTTATCGTCTAGTCCATAGGTATGATGTCTTAGGAGGGAATGAATGGAAAAGCGTACTAATAACTGGTGATGGTAATTCACTCAGCAATCATGAAAATCTGCAGTTTGAGCTACTTCAGGAGTAGTTATATGATGCATTACTATGCGCCTAAAGGCTGATTTTCAGTCACTATTTTGTTTTCGGTTGATTTCATTGCTAACTTGAAAAAAAATAAACTGAAAACCTTAAGAGGTTGCTCTAGAGTAAATTGTACAATTCGAAATTAGACTCGAATAATTAGAATAAGTTGAAAAGGAGAAGCTTGATATAGAGTATTCCTTAAAGAATTTTCGCTTGCCCAAGATTCGATCAAGTGGCGAGATTTTATAGTCAAAGGTCAACCTTTCCTACCAAGCTATGATTGCATATATTGGTCCACTTACTGCCGTTGTTTCGTGAGATGACTGCTGACTTCATGTGAACACATCATATCTTGAATAATCATTCATACGCCGACTGATCCCATTCATTCCTCTGATGTGCCAGTTTTCATTTCACAGGAAATAGTCAAAAAGTTTATAAATCGCTATCAAATAACCTGTAAGTGAATATTTTGTTCTCACATGGAGTCGGGAACCAGTGGAACTGACTGCACGTTCTGCTGAAACCTTCTAAACGAGATTAAATTTCTGTGGTACTCACGATTGCAGGATATATATATATATATATATATATATATATATATATATATATATATATATATATATATATATATATATATATATATCAACTGGCATACTAGGCTTATTTTTGAAAGATGAAATGATGCACTTTTATACATTCGAATTGGGAGGTAAACAAAATAGAAAGAAATATTTGAAACTCTTCATTCATCGAACTCAGAACAGCTGGAATGTCGAATTAATGTGAGTATGTAAATTAATGTAATTCAAAACTACTTTGCTTGAGAGATTTTGCTGATAGGTTTGATCAGTAGACTGGCTATTACTACTGGGGATACATATATTCTTACTTACTTACTCTAACCAACTTAACTACATTTTCAACAGTTGGAAATTTGTATATATTCCCCTTGGAGTTATATCATCTTTTTTGAAGAATAAATCACACTATTGAAATGGTATACAAGAAATATGAACGCTTTCCTATCAGAAACTTATTCCGATCAATTTACTACCAATTATATATCTTTTCAACAAGGTCTAACATCTATTTTAAACATATAAACAAATTCTCATTTACAACTATGATGCAACGCATCATTAGTTTTAGAAATATTTTGTGCAAAATCATTAGAGAATTAGAATTCTAACCAATCCAACAGTTCTGCATACTTTGTTCTACTCAGTTTTAATAAATACCATTTATTCACAGAATAAAACTTTCTGTTTTTAGACAATCCCTGACGGAGTCATGGATGCCCACTGCTGAGGAGTCCCGTATTAGGACAAAACAACTGTCCGGAGCTCTCGGTTTTCCAATGTTCCTCCAACTTATGTCAGTCCATGATGAACATCAACTCGGAGAATCACTAAATCCACACAAAACTCCTAATTCAATCTATAAGCCGCTTCTTTTTTCATAAGTTTCAGTTACACTGCAGTCGATCACGTGTATGTAATAACTGTGTTTGGTTAGTCTTGATACAAACGAAAAGTTTTGGATTTCAGCTATTCAAAAACAATAAGAACAACAGTAAAGAAAGAAACTGAATCATTAAAACTTACTATAGTTGCAGCTACACCTGCTATATGACAGTGTTTCATACTCATCTTTGACTATATAACTGAATTCATAGTGTGTACATTTGTCAGTAGTATTTATAACCAGAGAGGTTTGTAGCTTCTCTACTGAATAATAAAGAGTTTCGTCATTATTAGTCGTTGCCGAAATGAAGTATAATGATTTAGAATAAAATCTCTGGGTTTTCCATTGTAATGTGATACTGCCTTCAGTAATTTGTGCACATCGTAGCCCTATTGGATCACCGAGGCATTTGGCTACAGGTTTGAAAATTCAAAGCGACAAAACAAGTAAACTTATCGTCAGATTGGAGAATATTCTAGGAAAATTCTGTTCCAAAGAGAGTTAAACAGTGATAATGGTAGTAGTAAAAAACAGATTTGTCGTTTACAAGCTTTCAAAAATGATGGAATCTGAGTTTGTACCATGAACGTCCACTTGAGTATGGGTTACGCAACTCAGCTCAACTAGCAATCGAATATGGAGGTTTTTAGGGATTTAATGGTTGATTCCTGGTTAGAAATCATCATGGACTAACACCAGTCAAAGAACCATTGAAGAACTGGGGACACTCAACAGCTTTCGCGTCCTATCAAAGGACTTCCCACGGGTATGCACCCACGACCTGTCCAGGAGTTCCAGTGCCGAGGAGTACCATTCTGGGATGAAACATTTGTTCAGTCCTCCCAGTTCTTCAATGGTTCTGGAAATGACATCAGTCTGCGATGAATGTCAACCTGAAATGAATCAAATAAACTAGAAAAATGTCTTCCACTTACATGTGATATTACCTTTGATTAGTCCATGTTTGAATTTTACCTGATGTCTGGTGTTTGACATGACATGTTATCCCGTTTCCCTTTACTAACCTCCTGTTGCTGAACGCTAACCGGCGATTTTGTGAGGAGTACTGGGAGGTTATCTGAGGATACTGCCAACTGCTCTACCTTAAAAGATTGTTGGAATCCCTATACTACACAATGATAATGACTAAAAGTACAAATGTTTAATGCTGCCAGCGTATGAAAACAAAGATCTTATGAAGTTTCTTGTTAACTAGTATAGCGCAGTTACTTGCGAAAATTTATAAGACAGATATCCGCTTCACACATTTTCAAATGGAGGGAGCGAATTTCATTGATGATACATTCTAAAGAGACATCTGAAGAGAAAAACACATAAATTAATTCAAATCGATCAGAGACAAAGAAGAAATCATCGCATATAGCGAGCATGCATAATGCGGAAACGATCACATACACCATCATTAATATCAACATACGACCAGGCATTATTGCCTAACACTCCAAGTTGCCATACCTCATCTAACATCAGTACATCAAGTAAAAAGGCAGTGAGGTGCAAGATGAAGACAAGAAAATTCACTCAAAAGAAATATAAAATACGGAAATAGAGACAGGAAGAGTGACAAAATGTTGAGATTCGGTATAGCGTCGTTAAGATGAGGATAATGTGTGTATACATCTGCACCACTGATATCGCTTCTCAGTCATGTGATCACCTAGATTCAGTCTCCAACCACTGGTTCCTCTTGTCCCGCAGACCCCAAAACACCTAGTCTGCATCGCCCCACATGACTCAAACCAACAGTCAGAGACTTCATACATTGGTGCCATGTCTTAGTCTGACCACCTCGGGCCTCTTTCCAGCCTGGACCTACTTCGGCCAACATTGTGTGACGAGGCAATCGGTGACTAGGCATACGTAGTACGTGTCCCAACCGTCTCAGTCGATGAAGGTTCATAACCTCGTCAACTGATGTATCTGCACTCCCTAAAACTCTATACCTGACTTCTGCATTACCCACGTGGTGAAACCACGACACACGGCCTATACTACGAAGGCAACGGTGGTCAAACACCTGAAGCCGTCTCATGTCTTCCACCTTCAATGGCCATGTTTCACAGCCATAAAGGAGAACAGACCGGACTGCTGTGCAATATACGCGAACCTTGTAACGCAAACATTTTACATTTTAACATTTCTTTATCTGTATATCTTTGTGTGATAAATGTGCTTAAAAATTCATTGGGATACAATTTTAAAAGATTATTTCTTGTCTCTTTTGACAAATTCCTAATAGCATTTTGTTTATTATCAATGAAACTCGTATAAAATCAAGGAGACTATTCTATATTCAGTTAGTTCTATTCTTCTTTTAATTGAGATAATGAGACTATTCATCTATGAGTAATGAGGACTTTACTGTAATTGATAAACTCCGAATTTCTAACATTTCTAACATAAGACTAAGAAGACTATATATTTGTTAATGTAGATATATACAAAACACAACGAAAATGTCGCTGTAGCATTCTAACATTTATATGATAAAAAAGGTATTTCCAGTTGGAAGGATTCGGTAATTAACGAACATCAGATGCACAGCAGCACACCTCGATACTGATTAATTTACTCATAGAACTTATAGTTTAGAAAAGATTCTACACCTTAAGGTATATAAATGGTTTACCCTTGGAATGCATTTACATAATACCAAACGGTGATTTCCTATCTAGACAGCATCGTCTCAACTACAGGCGGCGACACACATGACGACGTCAATGCCATCATCGGAAAGACAGTAAGACACGCCTTCCTTCATTAATCTGAAATCAGTGTGAAGATCTACTGCACTACACTACACTACACTCAGCATAAAGCGTCAACAACAACCGGATTTTCAACACTAATTCAGTCAAGTCAATGTTTCTATGTGATGGTTGAGAGAGTTGGAGTGTCACAAAAAAGCATTTCCAACAAACAACTGCAGACATGTGTCATCAACAGCTGCCGCCTACGCTCGCTCACTCACTCACTCGATACTGACACTGAAGATCAGATAGATGACCAGAATAATGAGAATAAGCAAGGAGGAACTCTGGCTGGCTGGCTGGCTGGCTGGCTGGCTGGTTGGTTGGCTGACGACGAACCAACCGTGAACCCATCATACAACAAATATGCAGTATTCCAAGTTGTTATTCATCGTAGACTGACATCAGTTGGAGGAACAAAGGGAACGTGTAAGCACTGGACGGCTGTTTCGTCCTAGTATGCAGCAGGAGAAGGTGGAGATGGATTGGACTTGACTTGACTGGACTGGACTGGACTGGTCATACACTGCATAGACCATTTTGGGACATCACGTGCCAGTCCGGATCAGGTCGTCGAGTGGAAGCCAAGTGGGAAACAACGAGTGCGAGGCAATGGTGACATGGAGGAGATGGTGTGAGGAGGGAGTGAGAGGTGATGGTCAATGGTGGAGCCAGGTTGAGGAGAGTGAAATAATGACGTGGTACTCAAACCCTGTGTTACACTAGGAACCTGATGGACATATATTGATAAATAATAATATATATTGGACAATAACGAAAATGGCATTCCAATGTTATGTTTAATTTTTGGCGGTGAATTTCAGTCCATAAGAATCGTTTTAAAGAGTATTTGAGCCCGTTAGTTCTTCGGATTTATTTACTGAGTATGTCATACTTTCTGGTGATGAAAAATTCAAGAACAAATCCCAAGGATCACTGTGCACATCCAGCAGTAATCACGCTTATCCTGAGCAACAAATCTCGTTGCTTACCTGCAGTATAATAGAATATTAACGACACGAGTTTGTTCATACTAATGTCCTTTTGAATAAAACGTAATTGAGTAGAATTTGGTTGAAGTTAATAGTATCTAGATCTCTACACTGAAAATAGATTAATGCTGTCAAGATTTCAAAAGATGTAATTAGTCTTAATGAAGGATTCTTTAACTTGGGATGAATAAAATTTAAGGAATATTATCAATCCTCCTACAAAGTGTTTCAAAATTAGTGATGATGAGAATATAACAAGATTAAATATCCTAAGAATAAAAAATTGTCAAGCAAATTTAGCAGCAAAAACAGCTGACAGAGTGTAAGTGAAGACTTGCAAATGAATTGATCTGGTTTGTCTTTAGTAGAGATAACCTCCACCGAAAATTCGTAGCCATGACAACACAGTATATCTACATGATTTAAAGTAGTATTTTGAAGTTAGACACTTCTATGTTTTATGAGGGAATTTCAGTTTCAGCTGTCAAAAAATACAAAATATTATCACTCGTAAAACCTCGCCTGGTTAACTAGTTTACTAGTTACTAGCCGGTCCTAAGCCCGGGTAAAGAGGGAAGGTTGGGCATAGGGCTAGCAACCCTACCCCGTAAAACAAATCTAACCGCTAAAGAAACTTCAAAGCACAAACAAAATATAAAAAATGAAAACAAACTTATTCCCCGCTGGAATCGGAGAGGCGAAATGACGCCAGTTGGTGAAAGCCTTCGGGAAGCCAATTGGCCGATGTGTCTTCTCTCGATGAAAGCGAAAGTAAACGTGGGGACATGGAATGTCCGCACGATGTTTGAACCCAGTAAGGCAGCCCAGATTGCAAAGGAGATGAGAAGGTATAACATCGAAGTGCTTGGGATTTGCGAAAGCAGATGGAATGGGAGTGGACTCTCCAAACTGTCAACTGGAGAATCAATAATCTACTCCGGTCACCCAGACGCCAACCACGAGCACACTGAGGGAGTGGCTATCATGATGTCCTCAAGAGCATCGAAGGCTCTCATGCAGTGGGAACCAATCTCCTCCAGCAGGATCATGACAGCAAGATTCAACTCAAAAGGAAGAAAGGTCACAATCATACAATGTTATGCACCTACAAATAATGCAGAGCAAGAGAAAAAGGAGGAATTCTACAGACAACTTCAATCAACACTGGACAAGACGTCAGTTGGCGATATCAAAATTCTAATGGGCGACATGAATGCCAAACTGGGAGGGGACAACACGGGAAGAGAACTAACCATGGGTCGAGAGGCGCTAGGTGAAATGAATGAGAATGGAGAATTGTTTGCAGAATTCTGTGCATTCAACGATTTGGTGATTGGAGGCAGTGTGTTCAGGCACAAGGATATCCACAAAGCGACATGGACTTCACCAGATGGACACACTAAAAATCAAATCGACTTTATCTCAATCTCAAGAAAATGGAGACGCAGTCTACTTAACACAAGGTCAAGAAGAGGAGCAGATGTAGGTTCAGACCACTATCTAGTGCAAGGAACCTTCCAAATCAAGTTAAAAGCCTTCAAGGAAGCTGGTGATAGACCTCAATTCAAGTACAACACTCGGAAACTGAAGGATGAAACTACAAAGGAGATCTTCAAAGCAGCCATCAAGACAAAATGGGAGACGTCGAGG